CAGTGCCTGGCTACATAGAAAGTGTTACCAAAAAACTTATTAAAGAATGAATAATAAACATACATTCTAGTCCAACTCTGTAAAATTGTTTCTATTTTCAAGGGTCTCAGATTGAATCTTTTCCTAAAACGAGGAAATGTTTTGTAAAGTGAATAATTATTTCTGATATTATGCATTGTAAATTTGAGTGTTCATATATTGAATTTGGGTAAAGTGATAGGTATTATACAATTCGTTATATTTTGTTTCTTAATATATGAATGTTAAAATTTTTAAAAGGGGGTTATGACTAAACTTTTTTTAGCACTTTAATGTATCTGAGGCACTATTTCTTTGGGGTTTATATTTATCAACTAGTTTAATCTCCCTGTTAACTGTCTGCATCAATTCCTATTATATTTCCCATTTTATAGTGAGGAATCTAGGTATAGAGAAGTTAATTGGCTTGCCCAAATTCACACACCTAATCTGTGGTGGCTGCTAGATTCTTTATTTCTAGCTAGGGTTCATGTGGTAACTCCCTATTCTGGCAGGTTCTCAGGCAGAAGCTGCATGACTACTTGTTGGGGGCTAGAAAATAAGGGTTGTTATAAGAGGAGTCTCAAGCATTTAACTGGGTGTACCTTCAGGGCCTTGGCTGTAGGTGACAACCTGACTTGTTAACTGGAGCACAGATGAGATTAATCAATCCATACTGCTTAGCTCACAGGATCCACAGGAGACTGAAGAATAGACTTGAGCAGAAATCAAGGAGGCAGTTTGAGAGGCCCAGGCACTCAGGAGGGCCTCTGCCAAACCCACTGCTACTGTGGCCCCCAGGCCTGGCACTGGGATAATGTCCAACAGCCCCTCCACGTGCCTCGCTGCCTCCAGACTCAGAGCTCTGGCAGGAGCATCTGACTGGCCATGCCTAGGCCATGTGACCCACCCCTAATGCTTCCTTCTACCTGGAGTGCCTCGCTCCTTCCAAAAAATCCGAAGAGTTTTGATGTGATAGGCATCCAAAATGACAAATGTCCTCTCCTATGGGGGCTTCAACTAGGTGCTTCCCACGTTCCCTCCTGGCCCCAGGATTTTGTGATTGTATTCTTTACAAGGATTTGGGCTATCTGCCTTTGGTATGTTCCTATAGCACCTGGAGCGAAGCTCTATACCAATTAGGCTTACAGTAAATGTTTTTCACAGAGTGTAATGAGTACGTTAGCCTTTGGCACAAAAGAAACTAAGGATGCACACTTATTTATAGAATCTAGCTTTTTGATTCAGAACAGACTGTTTCAGCTGCTGAGCTCCTTTTGTTTATCAGGAAAACAGTTGATATTTATCATTCCTCTTAGCAAAAGGAGGAAGAAAAAGCATTGAAACATTTAAATGTTTCTGTGTATATATTTAAATACTTAGTGGTTCTATTGCAATGAGTTAGTTGCATAGGGCTGTTAGAACAAAGCTCATTTTAGGTCATCAGCTACCCTCTTCTCTCCACATACCTAATTTCAGCCAGTATGACTATCATTCCTATTTTCTCCTCATTCATCGTCCCTCATCCCCTGTCCCCAAGTCAGTTCTAAGTACTGTTGGCTTTTCAGTGTTAGGGGTCCTCTCCATAACACCTGTCCTCCCGCACTTATCCCCAGCCCGTGCCACCCCACCTTGCCTACTTGGTCTTCTCAGCAAACTGCTTTCATCCCCCACCCCCACCCTCACCCTGTGCTTCTTAAAGGCACAGTAACAGCTTATTAATATAGGAGAGCAGATGGGTCCGGCCCGGTGGCGCACTGCTACAGTGCGCCGCTTGGGAGCGTGGTGGCGCTCCCGCCGAGGGTTCGGATCCCACATACAGACCGGTTCCCGCTCACTGGCTGAGCGAGGTGTGGGAGCAACACTGAGGGTTGTGATCCCGTTGCCGGTCCCGGTCCGGTACGGGCACGACACTGAGGGTTGCGATCCGTTGCCGGACACGAAAAAAGACAAAAAGGAAAAAAAAAAATATAGGAGAGCAGTTAAGTGGGCTCTGGGGTCAGGCTCAGATCCCAGCTCTGTCACTTAGCGTCTGTGCTAGTGAGGGGTGTATCCAGATGTAATTAACAAAACCAACAGAGTAGTTGTGTGTTTGTTTTGTCCTCCACTACAGGAAGTCTGGCGAGAGGCAGCAGTCCGAGGCCCATGTGGCAGCTGTCACTCCTCCTGGCATTGGGGCCAGGCACTTTCTCTTTCTGCTCAGTCATTCTCGTGGGTGGCTTTTGTCCTCATGCTTGTCACCTCCTGGCTGCGCCTCCCCCAGCTTTGAAGGGGCAGAGCTGAGGGCAAAGTGAAAGCTAGCTGAGAAAACCCACCTCCTGACGGGCTCTCAGGGAGGCCTCGCCCAGCGACCTGCGACATGTCACTGTCCAGAGTGGGGGCATGCGCCCACGCTGAGTCTTCAGCTAAGCACACTGCACTGTTCTTTGCGCTTGAGATCTTTGCATACCCGTCCCATCCCTCATTGAGCATGCAAGAGCTGCTTATTACTTCACTTTTTAATACGATGTATCTTTGTTAGGGCAGGTTTTCAGAGTACACCAACTAACGTATTTACTGGACCTTCTCTGTAAATACCATTTACGGTTCTGGAATTCTTTCCTCTCCCACCACTTCACTTTACCTTTATCGTGATATCCAGCTTGTCACCCCCTCTGTGGCTCCTTGTTTCTCAGCCCTTGCCCTCCCTCCCTGCTTGACCATCCATTGACCCTGAGAATTCCATCTGTCATTCTCCTGTGCTCCAGGGCTGGCTACGGACCATCACGGTGCTGTCCACACCATGGTCTGTGAGGGGACCCTAATGTGAGCATTCTGTTCCCTTCAGGGTGAGGTTTTTGATATTTAAACCTTTTCTCTTCTTTTTAAAAACTCCTACCCCTATTCTTTTGCTCCCAGCAACCATCTCATTCCATCTTTATGGAGAAAACTGTGGCCGGGAAGCACAGCCCCTGATGGTCTCTCCTCTTCATCTTAAGGAACCTGCCTGCTTAAGAGCAGGCCTTCTAGCAGGGACCCATTTGTCCCAGGGGCTGGCTCTGTCTGGTCTTCTGGGACCTGATCTATGTCCTGATCTTTGCCCTGCCTGCTTGCCCCTGTCATGCTAGAGAGATGCTCAGGTTGCCTCCCTGAAAAAGCGAGCGTGTGGGTAAATAGCCTCTCACGCCGGGCCCTGCTCCACGTGTCCTTTCCTTCACCCTCATCATCCGCTCTTCACTCTTCTGGCCCCTGGGGCCTGGTGACCTCCTCCTGCTGGCCCAAACTACACTCACACAGCCTGGTCACCTGATTGCCACATCCAGTGGCTTCTGGGCCTCCCTTGCTTCTGACCCTTTTGTCCCCTTCCTGAGGCCCTCTCTGTTGTGACACTCCACTGCACCTGGTCCCCCAAGAGTTCCCCTCAGTTTCCTTTCCTGGTCCTTTTCCTCTCCCTTCCCTGTCAGCAGAGATGTTTCCTAAGGCTCCAGCCCAGCTGCTTCCTCTCTGAATACTATTCTGGGGTGATGTGATCTCTTCCAGTGACTTCAACTCTTTCCTTAAATGTATGTCTTATGTTAGATCTTTTTCTTGAGGTCCCAGATCGTCTCTAATTGTCTCTAGTAAATCACCACATGATACCTCAAACTCACTATCTTCTATACCAACTCATTAATAACAGCTTTCTCCCCCATTCTCCCTTTATTGTGAAAAGATTGCTGCCTCTCTCAAACATGTGCACATGCACATGCATACACAAGGGCCTTCTGTACCATAAGTTCACTCCCAGGTGTGCAGGCCAGAGACTTTGGGGACTTTGTTCAGTCCCTATGCCTCACCAGCACCCCCACCCTTCCATGGGTGGCCTGTCTGCTGATTCCAACTCAGACACATTTCTTGGTTCTGTCTCATGGCTCTGAAGCCCCTGTATTCTTCTGTCCTCCTCATCTTCCTAGGGGGGGGTTCATTTGAAGATTGTGATTCCAACTCAGACACATTTCTTGGTTCTGTCTCATGGCTCTGAAGCCCCTGTATTCTTCTATCCTCCTCATCTTCCTAGGGGGGGTTCATTTGAAGATTGCCCTCCCCAGGCAGGCAGTGTACCAGCTCTGAGGAGACAAAGTCATGATTTCTGCCTTTGAGAGTTTCTCATGGTGGGCCGAGCTAGGGTAGAGAGGGTGACGACAGTCACACTGATATATAGTTATGGTGGTGAGAACTTCAGGGGCACCAAGGAGGCAGAACCTGAGGGGAAGAGAGAGATGGAACAACTTAGAATTCAGACTCTCAGTGACGTGGCCCCAGCCCATGCCTGCCCTCCAGGCTGATCTCCCTCTTCCTGCCTATGCCCTGGACCACTTGCCATTGCCAAGTCCAAGCACACCCTTTCGTGCCTCCATGTCTGTTCATGCTGCTTCTCTTCCTGGAATGCCATTCCATGCCATAGCTGTGCTGTTGTCAACTTCAGTAAAGTGGAGTAATAGTAGTACCTACTTCACAGAATTGTTATTAGGTAAATAAGATAATACGTCTCAGGTGCTAGGAATAACACCTCCCCTCCCCCCATGTGTGCCCTCAATTATGGCAGTAACCATTGTGTTTCTCATTAATTTGGGCCATTTAGTGAATTAAGTATGAGATATAAGATTATTTGGGCTAAGTGAAGTTAGAAATTTAGTATGGTATGCTTTAAATGGGGTATTTTATTTTTTATGATAACATAAGCTTCCACTGTCTTAATTTTTTTTCTTATTTTTACAATGGCTACACAAGTAGGGAACAAAATTAGGGTGTTGCCAGGGGAGGATTTCTGCTTGTTTTTAACCACAGTTCCCTCCCCTGTCACCCAGAAGCCCCAAGCTCTGGTTATTGCTGTCCCCAGGCCACTGCTTGATTGGGCTCAGAGTTGGAAGACCTCGTTAGGAGGGCATCCTGAGCAAAGGCCCCTCTGCGAAGGCTGTAGTATTTGGCTTTGTCAAAAATTCTGAGTTTCACAGAAATAATCTCCTCTTGCCAAGTCTGCTCGTGCCGTGAAGGTGCTGAAAGAGTGTATCCGTCTGAAGCCCGACGATGCCACCATCCCTCTCCTTGCTGCCAAGCTGTGTATGGGCTCCCTTCACTGGGTGAGTAGGGCTGTGGCCCTCTGCTCCTCAGCAGAGGACTCCAGGGCAGGGCCGCCAGCATTTTTCATGTCAAGGCACAGAGAAAAAATAACAGTAATTCATCAGCTACACAAAGATAAGGCTGTTTAGAACCCTGGGCCCCAGGCCTGGCCCTTGGCCTCCTCAAGCCTCACCCACCTCACAGACCGAGGGGAACCCATATGTTACCGGGATACTCTGGGTTTTTCTTTTTCATGGGAATGTGCATCAGAAGTAGCAATGATGAGATAGAATTGGAATTCATACTCAGACACATCCTGCTTTATGTGAGTCTTGTCGGACTGAGAAGGTATGTCACTGAATTATTCATCCTTGGCTGAGCCTGAGTTTTTCTCTAAAGCAAAGAGTTACCCTCTCGTTTAGCTCATGTGTAAATCTAACTGTCTTCATTCTCCTTCCTTTACATATGCTTTCTTCTTCAAACATTCTCCATCAAATTTGAATCTGGTGATAGCCTGATCTATAAGTTCTAGAACCTCAAAAATATGTCATTTGAGTAGAAAATAGAAAGCTCAGACTAATTGCCGAGGTGGTGGTATAGATAATTACCACATACAATGCAGTTTTGTTTTTTTTTCCTTTTTGTCTTTTTTCGTGACTGGTAACGGGATCGCAACCCTCAGTGTCGCACCCGTACTGCGACCGGCAACGGGATCGCAACCCTCGGTGTCGCGCCCGCACCGCGCTCAACCAGTGAGTGGACCGGTCTCTATATGGGATCCGAACCCTCGGTGGGAGGGTCACCACACTCCCAAGCACCGCACTCTACCGAGTATGCCACCGGGCCTGCCCACAATGCAGTTTTAATTTCTTTTCTTTAACTTTATATCAAGATTAGTGATCAGAAGTTGCTCGGAAGACTGACTCTTTGCTCACTCAGGCTTTTCACCATTATGGTCCTTGCTGCTTGTTACTTTCCATGTATCTCTCCCGGCAGGAGAAAAGTAAGCCTTGTGAAGAAAGTGTTCTACTTCTGTTCAATTTTGCTTCGGAAAATGTAAAAGAAAAAAGACATTTTGAAAGAGTAGGCTTTCACCTAAAACACACAGCTGTGGCGGTGTGGTGTGGTTTGTAGGCTTTGACAGTTTGGGGCTGCAAGCCGAGGGGACAGTGCAGGAAGGCTCTGGGAGTGGGTGGAACAGGAATGAACCTTGGGTTTGGAGCAGGCCAGTGTCCAGCAGTGACTCTGCTGCCCTCCTTCCAGCTATGGCCGTATTTATTACTGTAACTTATACATCTCTAAACGCCTAAAATAAACCTCTTTTTTTAAAAAGATGGGAGTGATGAATCTTTTCTGTATATTTTTTCTTACATTTTTATTATTAAAATTTCCAAAACCCACAAAGGTCAAGAGTATAATGAACTCTCATGTCTGTCACCCAGCTTCAATAACATCAACATTTGCCATACTCTCAAGGGACAAATCTTATTATTTTTGCCCCTGAAGAATTGTGTAAGACATCTTTTGGTGGGTGTAGTTTACAGGTGCACATTTTCTTGTTGAAATCTGTCGGCGTGAGGTCCATGTGTTGTGTATTGTGAAATAAATAGATGGAGTTGAAATTTGCAGCAGTTTGTGACAAAGAGAATCCAAGTCTAAATGGATTCTTTAGGTCATGGGGGTAAAAAAGAAGGCCCCAAACACAAAACATTCCAAGAACTTTATTCTTTACAAATATATTTAATTCAACTTCTGAATACCTAGCACAACCTCATTACAAAACCAATCAGTAAAAAATAAAGATGAAAAAGCTAGAACCCCACCAAGTATGAAAGTGACTTTGGAAAGGAAGGCAAATAAGCAGTAAGGAAAATTTTAAAGAAAAAAGACAAGGTGGGAATCCTGAGGACTGTTAGAGAGGCTCAATAAAGAAAACAATCACCAAAGTGGAATTGGAAGACTTGGGAGTTATTTTCAAAGTGACTCATCAGAATTCCATTCTCGGCAGCAGATGCTTATGGGAACTCATGTTAGAAATTCTGCAGGTTATTGTTTTTAACTTGTCTCATTTTTCAGTTGGAAGAGGCTGAAAAGTTTGCCAAAACTGTCGTTGATGTGGGAGAAAAAACGTCAGAGTTCAAGGCCAAAGGCTACTTAGCTCTGGGGCTCACGTACAGTCTGCAGGCCACTGACGGTGAGAGAATTCCCGTTCCCCCGGAGTTGTTGAGCCACAGGACTGGGATTCCCACAGTTCCCTTCTGTCTTAGAAGGGTGCTGCTATCCTCTGCTTGGGCTGGTAGGAGAATGAGAGGGAAGGGAGGAAGGCCCTGTGCCAGGGCTTCGGGTCCATATTCACAGGTACATCGTGTTGGTAGTGTGCCAGGCACCTAGCTGGCAGCATGGCATCTGCCACCAAGTGCAGGATGATTCACCCAACCCAGCCTTTTGCCTGCCCCCACCCCAGCACTTGGCCTGGGCTGTACCATTGTGAAGGGATATTGGATCTTACGCCCAGGAATGTAGAAGAATTCAGGGCCAAACACTTCCAGGAAGCTTCCCTTGACTGGTCAGGAACTGCCCCTTCTCCACTCACACATTTTAATTCACAGATATGTACACGTGTGTGTGGCAGCTCACCAAATATTTATGGCTCTTGATACAGTGATTTATACATTTTGGATGTACTTAGAGTTTTGGTGGATGGGCTTCCATCTAAAAAAAATCTCAAATTCTGTTTTATATACTTAATGAAGTTTTCAATGATGTGTTTGCAGAAAGTATAAATTGTTTTCCTGAATTATTACTATTTCTCTTTTAACATTTTATTGTTAAATATAACATGAATACAAAAAAATCTGTAAAACAAATGTACAACTTAATGAATTAGTATAAGACAAAATATCCTTGTAACCACCACTCTGCTCAGGAGATAGAACCTTGCCAGCCACCTGGGGAGCCCTCCATGTGCCCCCTCCCAATTACAAGCCCTCCTTCCCCTTTAAGAGAAAATGCTATCCTGACTTTTATAGTACTTACTTCCCTTATTTAAAAGTTTTTTTTTTTTTTTTTAATATTTTTGCTATAGTTTATTTTACAAATTATCCCAAACCCTTTTTTCATTCTTTCTGCTTTAAAATATCAAAGACCCTGGGAAAGTTTTGCATACCAGTTACTTTTTAGAAATGGGTTTTTTGCTATTTTCCTATATACATATGATGTATTGGCAATACCAGCACTTTGCTTTTCAGAGAAGAGCAAATTTAATGCCCTAGATTTAGCCATGTAAATTCTTGGTTCCAAGCCTACCTAATTCGCCCTGTAACTTTGGGAGAGTCACTTGACCCTGTTGAGCCACGTCTTGCATTCATGATTCAGTTGGGTCACCTCCGAAAGCTCAGTCACTGTTCTAAGTTAGCCATGGGCTGCAGCACATCCGGCCCTCTGGGCAGCCTTCCCCTGCTGTCAGTCTGAAGTCAGGCTGGAAGCTGCCATGCTGGAGCCGCTAGGTGAGTGCCTCCTACAGTTCCAACCATAAACAGGTTCCTCCAGGACTTTCTCTCTTTCATTCCTAGACAGGCTCCAAGGGAACCATTTCTCACAGGATGAGTGTTGGCTCACAGCCAGGTGGCCTCACACTTTTGAGCCGATTTTCCAATATCAATGTTGGGTTTGCCTGCTCCATCCCTTGTATATACATCAAGGTATTAAAAGGTCTGGCCATTGCCCTGTGTGAATTCAACTGGCCTTTGATGGCATCAAACTAGTGCCCTGGGCCCAGGACCATAGCTTCTAGGTCAGGAGGAACTCTCTGAAGGCCTTCTAATCCAGCACCATTGGTGGCTGAATCCCTTCTTTGCCATCCTGTAGAGCCAATCTTTACCCATGAATTACATGCCTACACCTGGGAAGACAGATGTGCTTCTTCTGGAGTTCCCAACTGGTCTTCTGAAATAGCCCCATATGCCTGGGGGTGCCAAGAGTGACCGTCCAACTCACATTTTCCCCTTGACATTGTTCCACAGTCATGGCCAATGGGTGCAAATGCCCGGGGGTAGGACTGGGCTTCATTTCCTTTCTTCTACAGTGCCTGGTACAGCACTGGGCACAGATGCACTCAGAAATTGTTGCTTTTAATCCAGTTGATTGTTTCATTGTTGTGATGGGTTTTGCATTTGTCAAAAACTCCCTGATCTCCCATGGCACTGACTAATTGAACCCTTTTCTTAGCTTCTTTGCGAGGGATGCAGGAGGTCCTACAGAGAAAGGCGCTTCTTGCATTTCAGAGGTGAGTGGGAGTTCATCTTTTCACTCGGCTGTACATAATGACACCAAAGTATGATAAGTATAAAAAGAAGAGATATTTATAAAGATTATGTAAACAGTGTTTCACCCCAGGAGTCTTTCATCTTACCCAGCATAGAGTATCAGAACTTGCTGCATCACTTGTTGCTGTGTAAATCTGCATTCCTGATCTGTTTGTCCATCTGGGTTTATTTTATTCATTCCTAATAAAGTGATTTCAGCTCAAAAAAGATAGATACTCTGTATGTCTTGGGTTATGATTCCTTTATTAAAGACATTTGTCATCATCCAGAAAAGAGATCCGTCTTTTTTAGCTTTTTTTTAACATGTCAAGCTGTAGTTTTTATATTAAGAAATGAAAAGACCAGATTTTTAGGAGGTCTCCAAATACTAATACTAATTCTAATACTGCTAAGACAGGCCAGAAAGCCCCACATCCCCCTACCCCACCCTGCTCCATAACGCTTTGTGCTTGTCTCCATCATTGCACCTTTCATGAAATTAGGAGAATGCCATATAATTATAAAACGCTTGAGTGTCCCAGTGCTCTTTCACATCTCTTATTTAATTAGCTCCTTACCGCACACCAATAAGGTAGCCAGGAGAAGTGGTATGTCTGTTGCAGGTAAGGGACTGAGATGCAGGAGTTAAAGGATTTGCCAGTCACGTAGATATTGAAGTTAGTATAGAATCAAGGTCTCCTGACGCTAAGCCAGTTTTTCTTGTACATACTGTCTACAGTGCCCTAATTTTATTCTCGTTACAGGTATAATAAATCACTACAATGAAATCATTGCCTGAAAATATAGCCCCAAGATATGAAATCTAGAATTGGTATTGATCCTGTCACCTTAAATATATCTAAGTTACATTGATTTCTTGGAAGTGTATTAGAAACTTAGCTGCTTATGTGAAAATTTCATGAGAGCCTCCCGATACCTGCTAACCTTTGTTAGATTCTTTCATTAGAACTGGGGTTGCTCAGATTTGTTATGGTATCCCCGTGCCTTTTTTATAAAATCATTGTCACTGGTTTCAGTTAGTCTGAAACTCTTTCATCTCATGTCTTTCTACTTCTTAAGCAGGCTTGCTGAGAGCTTCCTCACTTTTCCAGTCTCAGTCTGGTTAATGACAAAAAGTACCAATTGACAGCTGCAAACAGATCTCCTGTCTCTGTGCTAAGCTTTTGTTGATGTTCTTCAGCACAGGGTGTGGAAAGCATTTTCATTTCAAATGATTTGGAGTTTTAAATTCTCCAGTCCTAGTTTGTGAAACCCACACATGGATGCTTAAGAACGTGGTCGTTACATCTGTTTCACTTTTCTTAAATCAGCACATCTTACTGGCTCTCTAAAAACAGCTGTGGTGGTGGTCTGCCTTGAGCTGCCAGTATAACTTCATGTTATATAACAGCTATTCCATTGGCCTGAATTCTTTTTTGCTTAGGTTTTAATTCAAAGAGGTTTTTTAAATATTAGTTCATCTGGCAATAAAGAGTAATAAAATCCCACTAACCTAACTGATTACATTGTGGAAAGCTAACCTAAATTAGTATTTGTGTAAAATATAGAATGTTTTTCAAAGAAATAAAACTATTTTATTTCAAGTACACATTAATGAGGACTATACTAGTGAATTGTAGTCCTAACAAAAATCTTCAAGGGAAAGATTTTTAATAAATAAGAGTGATTAGTATTACTTCTTAAATGTAAATGGATAATTTAAAACCACTTGGATGAGAAGTACTTTTTCTGTGTTTTAAATATTCTCCTCTACAATTCTGTTTGTACTATTGCTTTGCATTTTTTGTCTAAAAAGAAAACCGTGTAATTCAAAAAGTGATGGGGTTACAGATATAACATGTGAAAATTAACTCTTAATTGTGACCAAAGCCAGAATTCAAAAAGATTTGCTCTCTAATAGATTCAAAAAGGTGATTTTTGAAGACATTCAAGTGTGTGCCTGTATCTTACTGTTGAACTGTCAGCTGTTCTTACACTCATAAGCTTAACCCAAGCAGCTGAACCAATTCATTTGCCCTGTACAAAAGTCTAGTGAAGAAAAACATAATGTTGTTTGCAGACCTTTCTGAAGATGCTGAATTGATCTGAGTTTCTGCTTCTGTGGGTTCTCACCTCCTACTGAGAAAAGCAATTCTGAAAATAGTTGAGGGCGCATTTCAGTGCATTGACCCACGGCATGCAGAGAGCCTGGGCTGCTCTAGGAGGAAGATGTGGCAGGGTGTCGCTTGTGTTTGCCACTCAGTGTGGCACAGGTACACAATCTCACTTTATTTTCCCCTCTCCCTCCTAGCTCAAGTGTAAGTGTGGTATGTTTTGTGTATGTAGGATGACCAGCCATCCCAATTTGTTAGGGATTGAGTGGTTTCCTGGAACATGGGACTTTCAGTGCTAAAACTAGGAAAGCCTTGGGTAAACCAGGACAAGTTGGTCACCTTATATGTGTAACTAAAGGGAGGTTCCTGAATAATAGATTTAACCCAGTTTCCACATTTTTTTCTTAACTTGATACACTAATTCCATGTCCAGTATAATCAGGACTGAAGTGGACTTCAAAGAGAACTGGCTAATAAACAAGGCAGCAGGGTGATAATTATATAAAGACCAGGCCTTGGGATCACACGTGCTCAGAATCACACGTCCTCCATTCCACTTCTGGCTGTATCTCTTTTGTTGGGTGTTCTTGGACAAGATGCTTAATAGTAGATACTTCATAAATTGCAGTTCTTATTGTTACAAGGTATGTGCCTTATGGACCAGGGTCAAAATGAGCAGCCCTCTCTATGTTCTTGGTTCAGCCCTAGAGGATGTTGGTACTGGGGTCTAGAAGAGCACTGGGGTAACCTCCCAGCATTCTGGGTTCTATCCAGGCAGTCTGGGAGGCCCATCGCCTGCTCTCCAGTATCAGCCCAGTGTGCCTCTCTCTGTGCACTGCTCCTAGGATCACTTTGGGTGTCCCCCTCTGGAGGAACTCCTCAAGGAAAGGCACTTGTGTGGTTCATCTCCAGGCTCCCCAGAGGCTGGCATAGGGCGTGGCATCACAGTAGATACTGCGTAATGTGGATGGATGGACGGGCAGTGTCTTCCTCATGGAAGAGAAATTGGATTAATGGATGTAGAGGTGCTTTAACAAGGGAAGGGCTTTGTGAGCATCTCTGCAGTAACGTTTTTAGGTCTCTGGTTTCTCTTAGCAGCCTAGTCATGTGCTCACTGCATGGGAATGGAGTTTATGGGGTTGCTTTAGATTCATGTGCAGAGTTCAGAGTATTAAAGTTCTTAGGAGCACTGACGTCCTTCCTCTCACCTGCATTGCTTGATGATCTGTCAAGCAAGTTGCCTGTGGGCATACCAAAGTGGCCTTGTCACAGGAAGCTTAGCTGCTGAAGTTGTTCTGCACAACTGAAGCAAATTTTCTAGAGTCTGCATGAGAACAACACCATGCAGTTTTCCTTGTTTGGTTTAACAATCTCCTATTTCCCTTTTTGTTTTTCATAGGCATAAAGTGGTCTGTTTAATTCATTAGCCAAATTATCAAAATAAGGATTTTAATATGTGCATGTTTAAGTTGTGCCTTGGAAATTTGGCAGTTGGGTATTCACTATTAGCCACATCAGAAATTCTTCAGATGTTGCCCTAATGCACTTCAGAAATGCCAAGATCTCCAGCACTTCTGGCTTCTTTTGCAGTTCTGTGGTTAACAGTTAACAATCATGGGACAAGGCCAGGGTGGGACCTTCAGTCAGAACTGTCTTTATGCACACCCTCAATTTGCCAGATTTTCACTTGGTTGGTGTTGCGTGGAGGCACTTTATTTGTGAAAAACGTGACTGGACTGAGAAAATTATAGCTCTTAGAAATTCTTTTTAAGCATTGTGGAAACCTGGCTTTATTATTTTTGAAAGAAGATGGTATAAAATAAATAATTCCAAATAATTCAAAGTCTCTTCATACTTAATTTTGTATTCATTTTCCCTGAATAATTGGGAGAGACAGAAACCATGACATTCCAATCTCATTTTTTATGAACACCAAAGAAGAAAATGCTTTGATGTACAAGTTCATAGAAAACCGACACTTGTAAAATAATAAAAGCTGGAGCATACTGAGTAGGCCTCTGGTAGAAACAAGACATTTAAAAGGATAACACAGGCAAATACTCAGCCTTAGCCACTTAAACTAAGGTGAGAAAAATCCTAAAGCTGTGTCTTGAGGCCAGGTTTCTAGTAAAGGTTCCCCAGGAATGGGAGTTTAGGTGTTGTGTTCTTAAGATTAATAAAGGTCAGAGACTAACCTCTGCTTCACCCCAGTCCTGTACACAAGCTACCACATTTGCCCAGACAAAGCCACATATTAGTGGACTTAGCATAATGTCTGGATGGTGAACACTTAGGAGATTCTTTAGCTCCTTTCCCCACACAGACAGACAATTTAATTAAAAGGCCTTACTTATTACTTTAGAAAGCCATCCTCGGCACGTTTTGCTACAGTTGTGTGGAATTGGTTTGCATGGATTTGGATAATGATTTGGTTTTCTTTTTTTATCTTCAATTTGTTTTCTGCTGGTAGAAGATCCACCTTTAATTACAGAATGTTGACAGAACATCATGGAGGTGTGTTTACTATCTGGGTCCCACTGTTTGTAATTAGTCTGCTCCATGGTGCCTTTTAAAGAAAGTAAAAGTTTGTTTTTCTCTTCCCACCAGACTGTTAAACACAGAATTATGTCTTGTACATAGTCACATTGAGTTGTTTATACTGAAATACAATTCACTTTCACATAAAAGCAAAAAAGACCATATTTGCAATCAATTAGGAGGCCAGTACAGCCTCTTCCCATCCAGTGTCAAAGGCCAGTTAATAAAACTGAGCCTAATGTCTTACCACAGAGTCTTACACATCACAGTTAATATGAACTAAACTAGGAAACTGTATGGAGTTTAGTAGAAGCTTCAAAAGACTGAATAAGTGTCTTTCTTTTCCCCCTATATTTTATCAAAAACCAAAACCTCATTTTATGAACAAAGCTGGGCCTTTGATTTTCGTGTGGTTTCTCTGAAAGCCAGAAATTTGGATGAAGTAGCATTAAGGCAAAGCCAAACCTAACCGAAGCAGCCATCACCTTGCCAAGTACACACATGGCTTCACCGTGTCCCAGCATGACATATGGGCTCCTCCTGCTCAGCCAAGGGAAGCATCTGCTGGGGAGGTCAGACCTCAGGGCCTGTGGATTCTTCATCTCTAGGCCCCTCCTCAAAGCCTAGGTGCACTGGCTGCCATTTTAGATGCTAGGTAGGCAAAACACAGAAACATACACCTGTATTACACCTACTCGCAGTGGTAAGAGGACAAATGCTTTACATTTGATAGTGGACAAAGAAGAAGAGTGAAACATTAAGTAGTTAAAGTAAATAAATATGTGGCCTTGGTATAAAAATGCAAATGTTGAGACTTGTTTAGTAGGGAAAGTAAAAATGGCCTCTCCCATGTACTAATAGCCATGAATACTTTTTCAGGGCCCACAGCCTGTCACCTACAGATCACCAAGCAGCTTTCTACCTGGCTCTGCAGCTTGCCATCTCCAGACAGGTAAGTTTCTCTAACGTTCCCTAAACTTGGTGCACTCTCTATCTCAATAGGATTCCTTCAGCTTTCCAGTTGGATGCACTTCCTTCATTCACTCGAGGCTGAGTTGGAACCAGGGACTGTTATTGGAGGACATCAAATCCTCACAGTGAAGACCCTGGTGTTTTGGTCAGTTTGAGTATTAGCTGTGAAAACACAGGAGTTCCAGGCTCTGCTTTTGAAGATGAAATCCACAAATCTGGGGAGCCCGAGCTGGGGTCAGATGGCAACATGGAATGTGGCACATGCATGTACGCTGAGCCCCAGAGTCATCAGAGCACTCTGTTCCTTGCTAGCAGGAACAGGCTGGCAGAAGCCAGTGCTGTGCTGCATGGTGAGGATTTAGTCACTCGTTAGGCCCTGGTTGTCATAACGGTGTCAGTGGTTGACAGAAAGATGCCAACAGGCATAGACCAGAGATACTAGGTCCTTTAAAATACATAGAAGATACAAACAATTATGCACAGTGGCTATTGGAAACAGGAGACTCAATAGTATTCTCCTAGCTGGAGGGGCAAGCTTCGCTGGGCTTCATCTTCCCTAGAAGCTGCCTTTGCCATTGTCATACCCTCTTGTCCCCTTCCAGTTGTTCTGGAGACTTGGGCCAATTGCCTGCCTACCCACCAGGTGCAAAACACTGGTGGTAACCCCAGCACATTCCTGAGTGCTGACTGGGAGGGTGAATCAAAGGTCAGCTCCCCAGACATACCACTCCCCTGGCAGACCTAGGCTGAGATATGTGTCTGCTCACCAGGTGCAAAACACTGGTGGTAACCCCAGCACATTCCTGAGTGCTGACTGGGAGGGTGACTGGTCAGCTCCCCAGACATACCACTCCCCTGGCAGACCTAGGCTGAGATATGTGTCTGCTTTCCGGCTCGCTTGGGAATGGTGTTGAGAAGTAGCTCCCACTGGCACTGGGGACTGAAGATACCTCCCTGATAAAGGTCCTGTCACCTGGCATGGTTTGGCTCACAGCTGCTGCTACAACAGGTGGGGGCGGGTGATTGGCCATCCGGTCTCTCCTCTTCATTGGGAGCATCTCTCACCTCCTCCATGGAGCCTCCTTCCTGTAGCTTCCTGTGCTTCCCTTCCTCTTGTTCAGCCGTCTTGTTCAGTATCTGTCTTTTTCACTGGAGTTTAGGTTCCCTGAGGCAGGAACCTACATCTGTCACTGTCAGTGCTTTCCCTGACACCTGGAGCACTGCCTGACATGTATTCAGCACTCAGTAATACTCTTTGGATGAAGGAACAAGCTTTGAATTCCTTCAAGTCAGCTTTCCCTTAAGGACATCATTTTGAACCCTGTATCAGTTTGTCCCTGATTGCTGTGGTCATCCCTGCAAATCCACACCATGGGTACATCCGGCCTTTCCCCCATGATGCCAGGCTGAGTGCTGTCCACTGGGTAGGTTGTCACCTGGGGTGTAGATAAGTAGATGGAGCTTTGTGGGCACAGCAGCAACCTTTGTAGTCACCAAGCATGAGAACGCCAGAGCTCTCTCTGGGGAGTGTTTGCCGCTGCTCTCTTATCTTTAGAGCCAATGCCTTGTGACCAGGAGGAGAGGATGGAGAGGAAACAGAAGATCTAGAGGCACTCTTGTCTCAGTCACTCAGTAGCTGGGTGATCTTGCTCAAATCATTCACCTCTCTGGTCATCAGCTTCCTCCCTGTAAATGGATTGGGCCAGATGATCTCCCTTCCATCTGCAATAGCCATGATTTTATGGTTCGAAAGCAGAAAGCCTCCATAGCCAGCACTTATAACCTAAATGCATCAAGAATGGTAGGTCACAGAGGAACACTAATAGGTTTGGGAAAGAGAAGTCGTGGCTTCCTACTGAGGTGTGAGATTACTGAGCTTTGGGAAGAAGCAGGAGAGCTGAGAATAGGAGAGCTGCACAGGACCGGAGTTGGAGGCAGGACAGGAAGGAGTCCTGCTGTGGTTGTTTAAGAATCCTTCAGTCTTGAGCTCTATTTTGAAATTCAGCTTCAGGTTCTAATTCTCCCTCATTACTGTTAAACCTGCATGGAATCTAGGGTGTTCAGATATCAATTATGTATGCATTTATCAAAACTTGTGCTTGGATGGTTTTGAAGAAAGTCTTGAACAGCTGTTGCATTTAAAGGTTAAGGTTGTATCTGGTCCTACTTGAATTTGGTTACATCTGCTTTGTACGTGGCATTGCAATTTGTTTTTTTGATCAAGTTATTTTGGGTTGTCATTTGGAAAGGTGTGGGGGTTTTGTTGGTTTGTTTGCATATTTTCTTGATGTCTAATGGAGATCCAGTATAAAGGAACCTGAAAAGAATCACAGGCATCTGATCATTTGGAAACCTCTGTTAAAGGATTTATAACTTATTAAGCACTTTAATTTCAGTAATACTTTAAAAAATGAGAACAGTTCAGCTAAGGCAGTTTAATTCCACTAAAAACCTCTGGCAATTTGTATTTGTCTCCATTTACAGTGAAATCATCTTGGGCATAATCAAAAGTAGATCAGTTTTATGGAAAGAATGAGAAAGTGTTTATTTAGAGAGAAATAAAAGCTTTGGTATTGGCAATTGTACAGGGAAACAGGGTCTGTCATATCACTTCATCAGTCAAACTGTCACTTGAAGAGGGCATCTGTTTTCATGTTTGTAGCTAATGTCCTGGGGCTGCCGTAAAGACTTGGTTTAAAATGTGAATGTGGCACAGTGTGAAACAACTTGATATTTACAGAGAGTCAGATACTGAAATGATGGCTTCTTTCGTTTGTGTGTGCATGTGTGTGTTTAAAAATTCTTTTTGGTTTTGTTTTAAACCAGATACCAGAGGCTCTGGGATATGTTCGCCAAGCTCTCCAACTTCAAGGTGATGATGTCAACTCTCTGCACCTCCTTGCCCTCTTATTGTCAGCACAGAAGCATTACCATGATGCTCTGAACATCATCGACATGGCCCTGAGTGAATATCCCGAAAATTTTATGTAAGTTATGCTGAGCTTTTGTTTTTTCTTACCCTGAAGTTATTAAATTTACTTCTTCACCCGTCTTTCTCTCCAATCTGTCTAATTTGAGTTCTTCATGGATATCCTGAGGGTAAATAATATGAAACCCCTTTATTCTTTTTTCCTATATTTAAAAACAAACTTAGTCTATCATCTTTTTTTTTTGTCTTTTTCCGTGTCCGGCAACGGATCGCAACCCTCAGTGTCGCCCCCGGACCGGACCGGGGACCGGCAACGGGATCGCAACCCTCGGTGTTACTCCCGCTCCTCGCTCAGCCAGTGAGTGGGAACCGGTCTGTATGTGGGATCCGAACCCTCGGCGGGAGCGCCACCGCGCTTCCCAAGCGGCACACTATAGCAGTGCGCCACCGGGCCGGCCCCTTAGTCTATCATCTTTATTTAGTTAAAGTACTTTATCCATTCTTGCCCAATTTGTGTATTTGGAGCACATGAGATGATTTATGATGGATTCTGGATGAAATTTTTATTGAAATAGCTATATATTTTAAAATGTACATTAGAAAAATATAATACGTATTAAAGGGTGATTTTATGGAAATTGTTGCTTAGAAGATGACTAAGGATTTTTTAAATGAATTGTTCTAAAGTCAGTTCAAAGAAAAATATTAACACTAATACAGATATACAGGTTGAGTATCCCTTATCCAAAATGCTTGGGATCAGAAGTATTTTGGATTTTGGATTGTTGGATTAGGGATGCTCAACTTGTACTTGGATATGGCAAAAGTTATGTTAAACAAACTCCAGTGACTGAAATTTGGGAAACTTTACTTTATAGCTTATTTGTCCTGAGTTACCAATGGCTTCCACCAGCTCTGGATGATGATTCTATTTTAGGCAATTTTGATCAAGATACCTTAGCTCTTTGTGCCTTAGTTTTATTTTCTAGGAAATGGAATTTCTTAAATGAATCAATCAATATTTGTACATGACCTAAGAATTGTCATTATAAACTGTCATGTGCTTGAATAACTACTTATCTTCACATCTTTCCTGTGAGTCATTGAATTCATGCCTGTTGGTTAGGCTTTGTTGAGAAGGACATTGTCTTTTGGGCTACTGGGTTACCATTTTATCCTCAGTGGTGGTAGCTTAGTAACCAGTACACAATGGCCAGAAATAGTAAACACTCCTGCACACTGGAAGGTTCTAACTGTCTGTGTCATTGCAGGGTTAGTAACGGTGCAGGGGCAGCTTGGGGTGAGGCAGAAGGGGAGGAATATAGAAGGTGGCCAGGGCTGGCTTTCTTTACTTTCAAAAATAAGTGCAGTTCCAAACTTTAAGTGGGTCAGCTTTGGCTTTACTTCTCTGCCTCATCACCTTGTTGTGTTTTTAATCAGTACTTTTCAGCAGCTCTCCTTGGAAAATTGGTTCACTCATTTCCATTACAAACATTTCTTTGTCTTCAAGTGAAAAGGGTACTTCTCTTCTCCCCATCCAGAGAATTCTTGTTATAATCCAGGAAACCTCTGACTAGAGGTTTCTTTTGTAGGTTCAGCTATTTATGCAGAGTGAATTAAAGAGCTTGGCTGTAGTGTTTTACTTCTTGCAGATCTCACACTTGCTCTTTGAACACAGAGTGTATTTCTGCATTTTATCCCAAGCTGTTTAGCCCTTGGAACCTTAACATTTTTAAAAAGATTTGGACCTTTACCCATCAGGAAAGTACAACCTGATACAATCTAATTCAGTTTCTCTTGTCAATATTTATAAAGCACCATTCCCTGCTTCCCACCCCCCCCAACATCTAATTCAGTTTCTCTTGTCAATATTTATAAAGCACCATTCCCTGCTTCCCACCCCCCCCCAACCACACACACACACACACACTCACACACCTTTGTTAAATTTTATGTGGTTCCTGCTTCCATAGTCCAGAGTGTTATCAAGAGGAAGCTTATTAAACTAATAGCCACACCACACAGTCAGCAGTAAACAGTGGTGGCTAATATGTAATGCCTTCAAGTGACAGCAGCTGACAGCTTTTTGAAGAAGTAGAAGTAAGGAACAGTGGTAGAGAGATTTGAGGAATGCAAGCCTGTTATTATAATGTTAAGCCGTAAGCTCAAACAAGCAAAGCATATGGCAGCAGGTCTGAGAGTAGCCCATGACTTGTTTGCTTTTTAAATATTTATATATCTTCCTTTGTGGTGGGAAACTTCTTCCCAAAAATACTTTATTAAAAGTTAGGGCCAGGTGTAGTCAGTGGATCCCATGGTTTCTTCCCAACCTGGGTAAAACATTTCAATACCAACCTAAACAATGTTAAATGGACACTTGTCTCCGCTGCTGTGTAGTAGAATCTGTTTGCAACAAGTTGTCTCCAGCAGAACGGTAGACTTTCTGATCTGGTAGTGGAGCACATAGCTGATGTTTAGTCAGGACTTGCTAGATGGAGGTGAAAACCTTCCCACTGATAGGGTCAAAATTCCATCCACCTATCGAACAGTTACTGGATAAGACAGCTAAAGGCTCCTGCAGGAGCATCTGGTCTCTCTGCATTATCTATCCTTACTGTCACCATGAAATGATAAGAGTTGGTGTTTAAATACTTTGAATAAGCTTAACAAGGACCAAAAAGTTCTTAGCCAACAGGTACCATCTCAGCCATTTTGTCACTGCAAGCAGCACTGAGATTAAACAATAGATTCAACAATTGGGAAGAACTTCCTAACTGAAGGGACTGTGAGAACCAGGAATCAATAAGCTCACTACTCTGGAGAAGCAACAATTTTTGGAGGTATTATAGGGTTAGTTCTGCACGGAAGGAAAGGAATGAAGAAGAATCTTTTGTAGTGGTTAAGAGCGTAGTCTTAGAGTTGGACAAATCTGATTTAGGACTCCAAATCCTCCACTTTTAAGTTGTGTGACCTCAAGTAAGTCACTAAATCTCTGAGTCTCATTTTCTCATTTGCAAAATGTGAATAATAAAATATCCATCTCAAAGGCTTGTTGTAAGAATTGATTTAGCTTGTGCATTTAAGGCATTTGTACATGGTAATAATTGGTAGGAATTCATATTACTACTACTACTACTACTACAGTTTTCAACTGTGAAGTTTTAGAATCCTTTAAAACTGTTAATATTAAATATTGAGTAGAAGCAAAAAAAAAATTTATTAAATATATTTAAAATAATAATACAACTAGGGCCGGCCCCGTGGCTCACTCGGGAGAGTGTGGTGCTGGTAGCACCGAGGCCGCGGGTTCGGGTCCTATGTAGGGATGGCTGGTGCGCTCACTGGCTGAGCATGGTGCCGACAACACCTTGCCAGGGGTTGCAATCCCCTTACCGGTCAATAATAATAATAGAACTAATATATGTATACCTATATCTTAGTTTAAGAAAAAGAACATTAGTATTGCCTATGAATGTCCTGTGTATATTTACTTATATATGTACATATTTACTTATGTATTTCCTGTGTATATGAATTTCCTGTGCAGTATCACCTATGAATTTCCTCCCTATCCTATTCACTTGCCTCTCATCTGACAGGTTAATCACCATCCTGAATTCTATATTGATCACTCTCTCATATTTCTATACCACGTATGTTTGTACTCCTAAATAATAAAAGTTTTTAGTTTTCATGTTGAGAAAGGAAAATGGCCTAGAGCAATCTAAGCCATTTGAGATCTGCTAAAGTTATCAGGCCCAGAGAGGCATGACCATAGGACTCAGTCACATCCCCCTCCCCCATGTCCAAGGTAATTGCTAAAAGGCATGTTTTTAGTAGAAAAGCTGCTGCAACTGTGAGGTATAAATTACCCAAATGTTATTACAAGTTGTACAATATGACCCTCATGTGTTCTTTGTTGCAAAATTTCTGGAATTTATGAAGCAAAGAACAATGTATAGCAAATGTTATTTTAGTGAACCAATGTAAGTTCCTGGCAAGCAACTTCAGATCTGCCCCTCAACTTCTCCCTTCCTTCCTTTAAAAGTCAGTTTGTATGGGGACTGGCTGGTTAGCTCACTTGGTTAGAGTGTGGTGTTGATAACAGCAAGGCCAAGGGTTCAGATCCCTGTTGCTTCCCAGCCAGCTGCCAAACAACAACAACAAATCAGTTCGTAACTGCTACCAAACTAAGCACATATTTGGGGCAACCAGAGTCTGTGTCTCCCAGGCTGCAGTCCTCAAATTTGGCCCAAATGAACTGTCTTATATTGTTTGCCTCAGTTACTTCTTTTAGGTCTGACAGTGTTTTAAAACTTTTTTTAAAAAATGGAATCATACTAAGTATATTCTTTTTTTTTTTTTTTTCCTTTTTGTCTTTTTTCGTGACCGGCAACGGGATCGCAACCCTCAGTGTCGCGCCCGTACCGCGACCGGCAACGGGATCCCAACCCTCGGTGTTGCGCCTGCACCGCGCTCAACCAGTGAGCGGACCGGTCTCTATATGGGATCCGAACCCTCGGTGGGTGCGCCACCGCACTCCCAAGCGCTGCACTCTACCGAGTGCGCCACCGGGCCANACCCTCGGTGGGAGCGCCACCGCACTCCCAAGCGCTGCACTCTACCGAGTGCGCCACCGGGCCAGTCCATACTAAGTATATTCTTATACTATTTGCTTTTATTGCTTAACATTATGTTTTTGAGGTTCATCCTTATTGCACAACAGTGCAATTCATTCATTTATACTAATGAATAGTGTTTATTGTATAAATATACTAAGATTTTTTTAATCCAGTCTACTGTAAATAGATGTATGGGTTATTTTCAGTTGTTGGCTGTTATGAGCAATGCTGCTGTAAATGTTCTTGTACAGGTCTCCTGGTGTACACGTTCAAGGATTTCTTGAGGTATACACCTAGGAGTGAAATAGTTAGGTTGTAGGATATGTGTATCTTCATCTTCACCAAATAATTCCAAACTGTTTTCCAAATTAGTTGTGGCAATTAACACTCCCACCAGTAGTGCCCTAGAGTTCCTTTGGCTCTGTACAACCATACT